AACAGAACCCCAAAGGACTCATATAAGCCCTTTGCCTATGAGGTTAATACAGCAGACCCCTCCCCACCACACACTCCATCATCATCAAGCCATGGCCTTTGATGACTTTGTCCAGTTAAGGTTTCCCTGCTCTGGTTCAGTCTCATCAGAAGAAACAGACATGAGAAAGCAACTGGCCAAGGCAGGGCTAAGGTTCTTGAGTGTGAAGACCTGCCCTATGCAAGGCCAGATGTATCATCTATTGACCAAAGTGGGATTAACCATCCATTTACCCTCCTATTTACAAAATGCCTACAGATTTATTAGGAGAACACAGTCCACTCGCATACAGCTGATCAGGCTAGCCACATCTCCTATTTCTACGCTATCCATGAACACCCAGAACTCCCTCTCCAACATTCATCTGTACTTAAGAATCCTATTATTCACAGGTCAAAATTAATCAAGAAATCAGGCTGCTTCATGACAGCTTTGAGCAAGGTTCTTCCTGCTCAAGGTAATTTCCTGCTTACCTGAGAAGTATAAATAAGATTCACTTTTAACATTTAGATTCAAGCAGGATTTAACATAATGTGCTAAGGTAAAACTCTTTATCATATAGTTAGTCTTCAGATATTTTCGGTTTTAGAGGGTGTGTCGTGGGGTGAACCCAGGCTGGGTTCAAATTCATTATATAGCTCGGGATGATATTGAGCTTCCAATCCGTGCACCACTATGCCCAATTTATGTGGTTCTAGGACTGACCTCAGCTCTTTGTATAATATTACCAACTAAGCTACACACCTAGCCCTTGTCCTTTACATATTGTCCTTTCCTTCCTTCCATCTTGAGTAAACTTGGTCTATATTTAAGGTTACAACAAAGATAAATAAGAGAAGGTGGTACTGCCCAGGGAAATCAGCACTCATCTTTTAAGTTCAACATAAAACTGTTTTTAAACTGTCTTAAATGGTTAGCTGAAATAGAAAATCATTCTCCCTGTGTACAAAACTCATCTAACTTAGCCATAAAAAAATTCACTTTCCTGATATCTACATTTTGTATCTTCCATTTTAAAAATGTCCTTCTTTCGGCGTATCTAAATCACATTTAGGTCTCACTTATTCCAATATTCGTCCTCTGGTTTGAATTCAACAAACCTATGTGCTGAGCGGAGCAGTGCATAGTTAACTCACGGTATTATCTCAAGATCTATCACTTTAGAGATGGAGGCACGGGGGTGCCATTAAGTTTACTGACTCTCACTATGCAGCCTCTGCAGCCTCCACACCCACACGTTCTCTGGGGCAGCCTTGTGTAAAGCAAATCCCCAGGACAGCTTCCATTTGGCTTTATCCTTGTGGAGGCTTGCTCAAGATGTGCCATGGCTGCTGGTAAGTAAAACTATTATTGATAATCTCACTCTTGGAATCAGTGACGGTAGGCAATTCACAGCAAGTACCCATTGCAGACCAACTCTTCTCAAGAGACCTTCTCTCCCTGGATGCAAATAACCAGAGATTAATTCCTCCCTATACAGATTTAGTCTACCTACAATTGATAATATGTATCCAATCTTACTGTTAGCCCAAAGACCCAGAGAATAAAGGCTTCTTTCTCAACCAAGCAGGCCAACAACCATGCATATCCCTCACGCTTAGGCATTCCAATAGGGCAGCGATTCTCAACCTTCCTAATGCTGTGACCCTTTAATACAGTTCCTCATGTTGTGATGACCCCTAACTATAACATTATTTTCATTGCTACTTCATAAATATAATTTTGTTACTGTTATGAATCCTAATGTAAATATCTGATATTTCTAATGCTTGTGACTGACCCCTGTGAAAGGGTGGCTGGACTCCCCAAAAAGGGGTTGTGACCCCACAAGCTGAGAGCCACTGTAATAGTAGCATTTCTAGACACTCCACCGATTCCTAGTCGGAGCTCAGCTTGTCAACTGCAAGCATTGTACAGCTGACATAGCAAACAAAACTTGATATACGCTGATAAATTAGCAACTGCTAACAATGGTTAGGGCTAGGCATCACTTCAGAATTTTAAAGTGTAGACCATTCATAAAATGGAAGCATGCTATGAAAACCAAGAAAGCATAATGCTATCTCCATAACCATAAGCAAGGCAATCCTCATAACTGACACCTTCTAGAAGTCCTTTGTGCTTGTCTGTCTGTTTGCTTTTCCCAGTACTCTGAATGTCCTATCTTTCCTGAACAGGAAAAAGAACCTCCTAGGCTTTTCTGTAGAAATCTTACCTTTAAATGCTAGTGTACTACACAAAACACTGCAATGGCATTCTTTCTAACAAGACAGTCAACATTGTAGCTTTAGTGTGGTGAAAACTCACTACCTTACTCATCTAGACTATCATAGTGAAGACACACACACAGATACACACACACATATGTATGTATGTATAATCTTGTTCCAACTTGTGACACAGGTGACAACACCTCCAATCCTCAGCACAACTGGGTAAACTGTGGAAACATTCCAGAGACATTTGCACATTATTTACTGCCCTAAGCTGAAGCACATCTGGTTTATTGCTGGGAAGAAAGAATAACAAAAGGATGCCTAAAGTGTTAAAAGGTCAGTGTAGTAAAGGACGAATAAGATAAGAAATACTTTCTGCCCTTACAGTGCCAGGATCTCAGGAACTCAATTTACCACGCCTAAATCTCAATCAAAGCTTTGATATGTAGGGAAATGTTTTACACTGTACAATAGCAGATCTTTTTACACTAGTGATTGCATCAAATCGGTGGTCCTCTGAAACTACTGGGAGTGCTGTATTTCCACAGCGGGGTTGTAAAAACCTACATTAAATACTATTTCATGTTATGTATATATAAACTTTCTTAGTATTGCTAACATGAAAAGCTGTGGACCCTCACTATAAAGGCTTTTGTAAAAAGTCAGTAGAGGTTATAGACATGTTTGTTTGTTTAAAGTGGATGAGAGAGCAGTTCTCCCCTCTCACTAGAGGCTGTTGGGTTCTACAATCCAAGTTCTATTCTGAGTCCAGGAGGACAGGAGTCTCTCTATCCTTACAAGTTAAGAAACATCCTAGAATCAACAAGTCCAGGTCCTTCTAAACTAAATACTAGTGAACCATGACCGGGTATTTGCTCCCAGTGTACTGAGATACCCAATCAGAATTCAGGGAGATGGGGATTTTACTTGTTCCTTCTGTACATTGGGTAGAAAGATTCTCTAATCCACAAGATGCACAGAAGAACCAGCCTGAACTAGAATCTTAGGTCCCCACTGTGGCTTTGTATGAGGGAATCAGCCTCCTGTCCCAATCTCCTAATCTCTCGTCAACTGCGCACCAACATTGTTTCAGAAATTAAGAAATAAGTGTGATTTTGAGAACTTAGCTTTCCTAACACAGCTGGCAGAGAAGATGCTTAATGTTGGCTGAATGGAAAATGTCTCATAAAAGATCATTTCCCCTTGACACCGCGGAGGTATATTCAGTGCTCAACTGTAAAAAGACTCTGTGTATCTTTCACAGAAGAGGCCAACAGAACTCCAAGAGGCAATTCCCCTGCAGGTGACAGGCACTCTGGCAACAAAATCTGGCTGTGTGCCCTAAAATCTTTAGGAGACCAAGGGAAAGGGTGGGGAGTAGGACATAAACCATGCCCCTTGCCCTGGTCTCAGTCCTCCACCGAACTGGCTTCTCTGAATTACATCCTCCCTACAGGAGGAAGGGTAAAAGAGCAAGACCTGGCCCGCCCTCTTGTCCTCTGAACCCTCACAGCTGCTCCCCAGCTTATTTCTAGAAGTAGGCACAGGAGCTCTGCTCCTGACCGCTTCCCCCCAGTGGCTGGAGCGAGGGCTGTCCAACCATCCCGCTGTCCTAGGTGTGGAGTTCTAAGGAAACCGTCCTCAGAAACCATCTGTGCCCTCTTGCTTCAGCAGCATTAATGGGCACCTTCCCGTCCCGCGGCCTTGAAGTACGATGTGAAAGCCCCCAAACGCCCCTATGGCCCTCCCACCTTGGCTTTACACTCAACTCTAGTAGCGTCAGAGCCGCGGCAGGGCTCCCTCCTTGGATCAGTCTCAAAGAAGTTGTGAGGTCCTTAGGAGGGGCATTTAACGGAGCCCTCTCCCGTCCCCTTTCTGGTAGAGTCATGGAAAAGAAGACAGAGGACGAAATTCAGGCCATTTAGGCCAGAATACAAATCATCGGTGATGCTGCCAAGGGTCCCATAAAAATGTATTGGCATTTCCCTCAGTATGGGACAAAAACCCACCAATCACACCTCATCCAAACATTCCTGCCACAGGCCACAACAGGGTACCCCAGGTTCCACACCAGTAGAAGATTTCTAAGTTCCCAGAGCGGAACACTCCAGACGCTTTCAATGTCTCCCAGGTCCCTCCCCATCCAGCTCCGGGAGCCCACATTTGGATCCCAGCCAAGAGAGGCAGCAGCCAGGACCCCCCTAAATCCGTGCGTCCCTCCCAGTGTCCCGCCCCCTTCCTCTCTCCCCACCACCACCTCCCGTCCAGACGCTGCACTCCAAGCTCTCCAGAGCCCAGCAGTTCTGTGGCCCAAGAGGTTAATCCAGGCTTTTCTCTCCCAGTTAGAACCAGGGGCATTCTTACACATTGCCCTCCCAAAGGTCTCAACCTTCCCTGCCACAGCCACTAGCAGGGCTATTTCCTCAAGCTAAATAGCGCTTCAGGACTTTCCAGGTCCAAAGGTCCAGGCGAGTCTAAGCCTGTCCAAGGACACTCTATATTTTCCACAGACCCTATCTGTTCCTCATTGCTTGTAAAAACAAATTAAACAGGGATCCCAGCAACTTCGGGGCATGTGTGTGACTGTGCAAAGAGAGCGCTGGCGAGAGCATCGCCTTAGAGTTAGGGCCCGCAGCTGCAGAAGCACATCTGGAAAAGGGGGAGGGGTCGAAGCGGAGGGGACAAGAAGTCCCCCCAAACGACTAGCTTCTGGGTGCAGAGCCTGTGCCACCGGGGGTTGGTTACCTGTCCTACGTTGATGAATCCGTACTTGCTGGCTATGCGATCTGCCTCTGCGAAGCCGCCAGCGATCTTCACTGCCCAGTGGTTGGTGTAGACGCGCGTCCGGCACACTGGGAGCAGACAGCCAGCGAGCAGTGCCAGCACGCACAGCAGGTCCCGCCGTCCTGGGCGGCAGCAGCGGCTCCCCCAGCCCCAGTCCATGGTCCCGGCGCTTCGCTGCCTTCGCCCGGCCGCTGGCTCGCGCGCTAAGCGGCGCGCACAACTAACTTCTCCGGCCTGGGCCGGCGGGGCGCGCAGCCGGGAGCGGTCGGTAGGAGGCGGAGAGTCCGGGAGCGGAGCAGAGCAGCGAGCCCCTCTCTGGCTCTTAGACCATCCCTGGGGCAGCGGGGACCGGGGTGACGGGCTCTGGGCCGGCGGGGCGGTGAGCGATCGCTCCCCGGCTTGCACGGGAGGCGGTGGAGTGGGACTGGCGCCTCCGCCGCGGGCTCTCCCGGCTCCGCTCGTGGACTCTTCGCTTGCTTCTTGCTCCTCTTCGGCCCCGGAGCTCCGTGGAGACGACAGACCGGAGCGCAGGCAGCGGCTGGGCGCCCCCTCTGCTGAACCCGGCTCCCAGCGCTTGCTCGCTTGCCCGCTAGCTGCGCTCCCTCCGGCTCTGAGCAGCGCGCGGGGACTGTGAGTGGCGACGGCAGCGGCGCCCGCTCCGCATAAATGACTCCCCCGCCCCCCAGCACCCCTCCTTTCCCACATCTCCCTCCTCCTCTACTCCTCCGCCCTCACGAGCGGGGCCTCAGCCAGGAGCCACCCAGGTCCTAGCGCCTCCCTGTTCTCCCTGCTGTAACCTCCAGGGTCGGGGCAGTGAAGGCCAGTCTCCCCAAAGGGCTAAAGGGAGAGTGCCTCCCGGGTCTTGATTTCTATCCATTTCATTCCGCCAGGCTGGATTTGAATTAATTTTCCGTTACTCTGGAAAGTCTAAGATTTACACGATAATGAGAGGGAAGTACGGCAAAGATTCGTTCATCCCTGCTCTAACTGTCCTGGACTAACAGCATTTTAAGGTCACCCGTGTCTCAATTGCCAAACAAATAACTCGAGATTTTTCACTTCGCTAATTCTTTATGCTTTTCAGCAACTGTTTATCTTGCGCATTCTATACCCCTATACCCCCGAGAAGCTGCCACACAGGACAGTTAAGTCTCATCCACTCTTACAAAAGTCAAAGCCAAAAGTCTGTCGCCTGCTGACTTGGGAGATCAGCCTTTCTGATACTCAGCAGCAACATCACAGGAGGGTGAAATTCCGCGCTTAGAGCGAGGAAAGCTATTTCTATGAATATCTGCAATACTAGAGAATGGACAAGGGTCGGTTCCAAGGGAGTGGCCATTCGTTTGTTGTGTCGTTATCTCCAAGGGCTTCATTTTCCTCAGCAAGGAGAGTTTTCCAACTTTCCAAGTATGATATGAGAGCAGAGGAGGAGAGTAATATAAAAAGGACCACAGAGGTAGTCAGATGAAATACATCTGCATTAAAGCACAGAGACCTCAGACACAGCAGGGAATGGCAGCTGGCCTTCTTCTGGCTTCTCTAACCCCCCCCCCTGTCTTTTGCAGGTGAGGGGCCAAGGAGTGGTTTATTGTAAAAAGAAAAATTGGTCTTTATGAAATGGTTTGCCTAACCTTAAAAGAAACATCTGTCCTGAGCCCTCACATCCTTTCCCCCTCCTCTCCCATCTCTTATTATTCTTCCTAACGACTAGTTGAATGTGTCTGAGATTAACCCATCTCATGATTTTATTGTCTGAAGGATACCTGCAAGCTTAAATCCACTAGCACCTTGGTGCATAAATTTTATGGCATTTTGCATATTGTATAAATATATTATAGTTTTTCCTTCAAACAAACTCAAAATAACAATATCCGTACACTACAGATCAAGAGGTAGATGAGAAAAACAGACATGCTTTCCAGAAGGGCATGTATTCTATTGATTTATTTATTTGGCTAGTTTAACACATCTGTTTTGAGGACCTGGTATATGATTCCTATCAGATTGTGCTGAACATTGTTGGAGGGGGCACAAAATATTGGTGGAATTTAGGCTCAGAATTCTCTAGAGAACATGCTCATTGTTAGTTGGCATTACTTTTGTAAATAGAGAAGTCTAGGCAGTTTGCTTGGCTCTAGAGAGTGGATATAGTCTGGCTCTAGAGAGTCGGTATAGTCTGGCTACTGGTGTAGTACATTCCCTTTGAACAGACCTCTTAACACCCCTCCCAACCATAGATTCCAGAGTAAGGGGC